TGATTGATATGATGGATTTCATCGAATTACAGCTTCCACATCATTTTATAAAAAGAAAAAATAAAAAATATTAGTCACGGCTATTTGCATTCCAGTTAAGATGTTGTTACGTCATTTTGCATTTCAGGTGGACGATATGTATCTATGTATGTCTCAATAGCTACTCGAAATTACTCGTGAGAATGGGGGTACCCGATATTGTGTCGAGAGCCCGATTGCTCGATTTCCCGGGTATCGAAATCCCCGGGAATGTGTGTTAGTGCAGTTAGTGTTAACCAGTCATGGATAGAATGGCCCAAATTAAGCATATCTATTAATACGTTCTTACACACCTACTAACGTTCTTTTAATACCCGCGCGTTCACTACATGAAGAGAGGGTATTATAACTTTAGTCATCTAAAAGCATAGACAGATAACAGCGTTGATCCGGATCAATTGGTTAATTTGGAATTATCTCGAGAATTAACAGCAGTTGATCCGAACTTAATTCAGATCATCCGAATTTTTCGATGACAACACTACAGTTGGGTCTACGTAACTGGAACGACCGAGATTTATATTTGGCCAAGGACTGTCACTCCAACAACAGGACCGAAACTCAGGGAGCGTAGAATACAGAAAATATGCACAGCTAGCATGGACATCTACATCTACCTTACCATCGGTAATGCACCCACCACCAACTGCGTGTTTAACTTCCTTATCGACGATCATCGACTTCATAACAGGGAATCGATAACGTCGATAACGATTTTTAATCTGTAGTTAGTGTTAACCAAACATTGAGTAACTAGCCCTTTTTCAGATAGGAATCCGATTTAAATTGAATAAGGAGTTATTTGAATTAGTATGGTGACTGTATTATCGATGACAGACCAGTTTTTCATATTCTTTGCATTCTACGATCCACGAACAAACAAATGCGTAACAAAGCAGCCGATTTCTTCATCCACGGTAGGCGAGAGTGAAAGTTGCGTACTACATTTCCTTAGGATCTGGGTTCGCAGCACGGTTATTATTTTATTTTTTATTTTATTTGATTTATATATTTTACTTTTCTTTCTTTTGTTTTATTTTATTTCAGATTATTAATTTTATTATTAGTTAATAAAAAATTTTAGAGTTTAATTTAATTAAAAAAAGTCAAAAATAACTATGTAAAAACTACATCAAAAAATATAGAAGTTACAATTGAATGAATAAAAAAAATTAAATGAATATTTTACTGGCAGTTGGACTTGAACCCCCGTCTGTAAAGGCAAAATTTTATCAAATCAGCGCCGCCGTTAATCCGGATCAACTTTGCCATCTGTCTATGCTATTAACTCGTTTATGAAAAGTACCTAAAATCTAACAATTTTCTATCAAAATCACAAGTAATAGGTATTAATTTTTATTGAAAAAAGTATTCATTTAGTTAACTTCACACAGACATATACAAAGAAGTACAATGTAAAAGTAGATATAGGCATATTCACTTCAGCTCTTATACATTGCCATCTTTCATTCGATTATGACACGGAAAGACGTAAAGCTTCGTTATAAAACAGATATGCGTTGCAAAAATAGGGAGTTATTTGTTGTTTGGTTGAAAAAAATCCAAAACAAAGGTAAACAAAGGTAGGAGTGTTTACTAGTGTTACCAGATTTTTTTCCAGCCATACGGGACAAACGCATAATTCGTCCCAAAAATACGGGATTTAAAAAAATTTAACGGGACAATTGAGAAATAAAGGATTTGCTTTAAAAGCCCATATATTAACAAAGGTGATCAATTTTAGCGAAGTAATGTTCAGACAATACTTTTTAAATTATACAAAAATATGTATGTGCATAAACATGTATATAAAATTAAAGATTAAAATTAAGCTTACGATCCATGGTCCACAAAATTGTATAATTGTCAAGTGCAAGTTTCAAGTCGCTAAAACTTACCGTTCATTTTTTAGATTTTTTTTTGTGGAGGGTGTTACTCATTTTCTTCCATATAAAAGTCCGTTTTGTTCATGCATTATATGGAGGAAAATTCTAAACACCCTCCACAAAAAATTCTAAAGAATCAACGGTAATTTTTAGCTATATTTCTCTTACAGAGTTGCTTGCAATAATACTCGCTAAGGACCTACTCACAATAGCCGCATTAAACCATGACCATGTTGAGTAGAAGTTTAAATGTTGAAATGAAATTTTCGAACATACGGGAAAAATCATGTTCCGGCGGAACATTTAAAATTTAATGCAAAATACGGGAGGTTCAGGATAATACGGAACATTTGGCAACACTGGTGTTTACCCGATTTCGAACGTTTTCGATGCAGAGTTAGGCTTAATGATATACATAATTGAACCAAGTTAGGTAAAAATCGCTAAAGTGGAGACCGAGATATAACTTTGTAGTCATAAAGTGGGCGGTGCCACAACCAATTCCTAGACGCCTATAGCAGTCTTATATATTGTTAGGAGATTGTTGTAACTATTAACTCCCTCAAAGTAAAGCGTCCTCAGTTATTGAAATATCAGAGTTTTCGTATTTCTGAAATTTACCGTTATACGTGAGTCGGGTGTAATTTTAGTCCGGTTTGAATATTTTTCAACAAATTGCTATTATTAAGTGCGCCGAGTTTGGTAGAAATTGATAAATCGGTTACCCAGATACACATTTGTGGTCATAAGTGGGCGGCGCCACGCCCATTATCAAAAAATTTATAATCTAATTCTCTGATAAGTGGTTATTGCAATCTACGATTTTAAGTGAATTAGCTCCGGTTGTAACTGATTTATCGCAGTTTTCGTGTTTCTGTAAATTACCATTATATGGCAAGTGGGCGTGATTATTGCCCGATTTCAAAGATTTTCAACAGATTTCTTTGCTAGATCTTACCCAGAGCTCGTACCGAGATTGGTAAGGACTGGTGAAGCGGCTACTGAGATACAGCATTTCATCATAACTGGGAGGGGTCACGGCCATTTTACAAAAAATGCATAATAATTTACCACAATTCTACTTCACGTACTAATTTTCAACAATTTGCATCCAATATTTACTGAAATATCGTAGTTTTTACATTTTTCAAAAATACCGCTTTTTGGGAAGTGGGCGTGGTTACAGTCCGATTTGGGCAACCTACATACCAAATTTCGTTGTGATATCTAAATTTTTGCTGAAGTTATCATATACACGGTCAGACGGACGGATGGCGCGACGGACGGACAGACAGACATGGCTTAATCGGTTTATCTTTTCATTCTGATCATTTATGTATACATTTGTCTATATCTATCTCGATTCATTTTGGCTGTTACAAACAACAATTATGCGAACAAAGTTAATATACTCTTGTGCACAAAGTGTGTCGGGTAAAAAAAAATTAAGTTACATTTTAATTAATTTTGTATTACAGAGATCGGTTCACTAAGGGCGAAGATATTGAAAATCTAATAAATCAATCTTTCTTAAATCTCAATATGCCGGAAACTTGTTATATCTCGAAAACCGTTCTACTTTCACAGTATGCGCCTATCATATTTGGATTCAGCGGAAAGTTTTACATGGGGATACATCACCCCACATACCACAATTATGAGAATTTTCATTTCTGAAAATTTCTTGTGTCGTATAATTTATTTAGGATCAACAGCATTAAATGCAAACTTTAAAGTCCACTTAAAAACAATCTTCTTTTGATACAGTTATATTCTCAGGTTCTTTTGGATTTTCTGATTAGTTAGATTTTGTCGGACGGTTTATTATACTTTACTAAGATGTTCTTTTTTTAAACTGTATGTCCTTATTCATAACCAGAGAACGGATTTTACGGAAACTGCCTTTTTTCTGCTGAAGGGATAGAGTATATTCCACGTGGACATTCCCTGATTCCGTATATACACAATCGATGTTGCCTTTTTTTGCCTTTTTTAAGATATTTTCCTATTATACCTTTAAAAATATAAATATAATATAAAAGTTTCAAAAGTTCCATATTTAAATTGGACACCATTTGTATCAACTCACGTCGAACGCACGTGGCTGTATTAACGCCCGTTCTGTTTGTGAGCGAAAAACTAAAAATCATAGAATAATTATTTCCGCCGAGCGAAAGAATAAAACTCAAATATAAATTATTAATTTTAATTTATATATTAGAGTAAACTCGAAAAATAAAAATCATTGTAAATTACAATAAGACATGTGAACACGAATACGTGAGTATATTTAAAATTGTTTTACGACGATCACAACTTGTTGATTTTTTTGGTTAAAATTAAAAAAATTATGATTATTTTCCATTCCTGGTTTTTAGTTTTTTGTCGCTGAGGTCTGGATTTCTTTAAGAACATTGAAATTTCAGAGTTATAATAAATTAAAAAAAAAAAAAAACAAAAAATCATTTAAAAACTTTACTGTAATTTATGTAGAATAACAATATTGATAACAAATGGAGGAGAGAAGAGAAAGTGTTTGGTTCACAAGGACAAAGAGGTATCGGAAATTTCTATCAAATCATCTAAAGTGTCAGAAGGCAATATTTATGCTTAAAATGAATTTACACACCGAATTGAATGTAATATATTCCGGACCAATATATGTAAACTTTAATTCACAAGGCAAAACATACAAATGCTAATTGTAAAATACTTCTTGGCTTCGAGACGATGTATTTATCTTCGACTGTGTCCTAATACCCGTGGTAAAGTTCGGATACTCTTATTCTTGGTTAAAAATTGAAATCATCGAGTAGGTATTCACTAAAGTCCTGTGAAGCTGTTTCAAAAACCATTGGGCAATCTTTAACTGTACTCATATTTTTTGGCATCACAACAAAAATAATCTTAAAGAAATAACTTTTTAACATCACATATGGAAATGCACAAAAAGATTTAAAGTTTAAAGGTAGTGCTTTTGGCCATTTTTCTAGTTCGATCAATTCACTAAGAAACACTTTCGAGTCCACTTCTTTTAAGTCCATAACTTTTAGATTAAATATTTCTTTTTAATACCTTCATTTTCACTCGGAATAAATAGAATTTGAAAACAAAAACGCGTACCGAACCCGTTCAAGGTAAACGAATCAACAAGACGGCAACGGGAAGTTCTTGTTTGAAAATAGCGTCACACACACTCTCGATACTTAGCGTTCTGTGAAGTTCCCTCAGCCAGGTGCAGTTAATGTAATTTTGGTGTTGAAACGTTTCGAATCGTTCGCAAGAAACCGTTGAACTGATGTCTGCCTCCAATGACCAAAACCATTTATATACGCAGCTAGGCCCAAAAAGCCCACCAACCGCCGATTTGCAGCCACACAGAGATATGCAGATGCTGAGATGCAATAGTCGATGGTAGCTGGCAGCGCAGCATCCACACTGAGAAGCCGCAACTGAACATAACATAACGGGACAGCGGCGGCAAGTGCAGTGTGGAACTGTATCTCCAACTGCAACAACAACTAGAAGGCGTAAGTACTCGCAACATAAAGCGAATGAATGAAGTAAATGCCAAAGACGCAGAAACATCGAAGAAGAAGCCGGTTGCCGAGAGCAATTTAGCATCGAGCTGCCAACAACAACAGCGAAATTTATGGCAGCAGCAATGGCAGCATAGCTAGCGCGACCACTTTGGTAGCAGCGGCTGTAGCCTGACAACCTTTGCATAAACCTGCCGCATGCCTGCAAAACGTTTGCAGTAAATGTGTAAACTCAAATTCGCTCAGTGCGGAGTTAAAATGAATCGCGTCAACTGCAGAGGTGCAAAGGTGCGGTCAGGTGATGGCAGTCAATTGACAAGAGCCCGACTTAGTTAGCGTACGGGGCAGGTTTGGTAGAAGAGAAGTTTTTGGCGTTTTGTGTTGGCTCAGATGAGATCAGTGCTACAATTGCAATTGGCTGTATAGTGCATGCATGCATTCATATGATAGTGTTTGTGTTGCTGTGGCTATTTTCTGTGTATTTTTATTTTTTTTTTGTTGCACGGTAAGCAAGAATTGATTACATTTCTAGCTAAATGCCGCCAAAATTTGGTTATGCATCTACTATAGCCCTCCGACATAGTCATTGAAAGACATTGAGTGTTTGTGGTACACAAATAATTAAATTTATAATTTTTTTTTTCAAACACGAATATACCTACACATATATATGCGGTATTTTATGACTGTCACAGCATTATCGTTAATTTTGGTACACCTGCTGCTAAACATTTTTACACTTTTTCTATGGTCGGCGTTTCATTGTCTCACTGTCGTTAGATTGTTGTTACTTATTTAACAATAACTATCGATTATTCAATTATTTTTCATCGTTAAATAAATAGCCGTAAAAATGAAAGTGACACTGGCAAGGTTACTTACAATCCATTCAATAGAAATTTGTATAATGAAACTAGGGCAATACGCACACCATAAAAGTAGATAAGGGAACAGCACTTTATGTGCGGTATTTGTGAATGTGTTTTTATGTGTTTGTACAATAGACTGACCCACGCTTCATACGATAGTTTAAGAGGGCGTGTATGTTTCATGTTTCATATCGACGGCTGAATGGAAGATCGACCTACCTCAGCATCCGGTTCAAAAGCGCCCCCTCTGAAGTAGGGCATTCTAGAGCATTTTCTGAGATAGCGCGTTTTCGATCCGGCTACCGAGATAGGTCGATCTTCCACTCAGCTGTCGATATGTACTTTCACTCGGAGACATACATAGTTGTCTTTGAGTGAGTGTCAGTAGGAGACACACACCCTCAATTAGGGTTCCTTTTCAGTGAGAAATCAGGGTATTTCTGATGGCATTAACCTACTGAACCAATTACTGCCCCGAGCTAAAGTGGGGAGATCCAAGAGTTTCACCCCCGCTATCTCCACCAGGTGTGATCCCAAGGGATTGAGATGCTTCGACTGTAAGCTCGGACAGCGATGCAGAAGGTGGTCAATTGAATTCCTCCTCCTCATCCTCATAGTTGCAGCTGCTGCAGCGCGCAAATGTTAGTATTCGCCATCATCGCTGCATTCGTTCAATAGCAAAGTAATCCGTGATGTCGCCGATAAGGACTCGTACTGCAGATTTAAGTTTGAGAGGGTAATGTGTCCATTTCTTACTAAGCTGCGGCCGTAATAATCTTGAGATCTAACAGTCTTCTCGCTTGTTCCCAAGTGATGGCTATAAAGTATTCTTCAAATTGTCTAAACTCATCAGTAAACGGTAGTAGTCCACCTCGTTGACATATCGCATCAGCCGAATCTTTCCCTTCAATATCGCTAAGTCCGAAGACCCAGCAGATAGCGACATTGATATGGCTCATACAAAACCCGAATTTACTATTTGTGATTTTATTGAATCCAAGTTAGCTTGACTATCGACAAGGATAGTATTTTCCCCTCTGGCACCGCGCTATTCAGTGAAAGGCTCTTCGCCTTCTCTACAGCGTAGATCTCTGTTTGGATAATAATATTGAAATCCCAAGCCGGTATAATGTAGTCGGTGTTGGCTTCTATATCAGGTTTGATTCCATTAAGCCGGTCCTTTATCGGGTGGTTTCCCAAGTATTGGCTTCCCGGAGTCTGAGGTCGGTTTTTGCGGCCGTACCATGAACAAAAATATGAAGCGGTTGCAGGTGAAATATCACGTTAACCTCCTCCTAAAGTGTGCTATTCACTGCTTCCGATATGCCGAGACATGCGAGTATTTGCACTTTCTCGCTCTTGCCCAGAGCAATCAATCAAACTAAGGCCCTATTGATCTGATGACTGCCCTGCAAAAATTTGAGGTTCAGGTGGTCCACTTGGTCGTAGTTTTAAAGTATGTGCAAAAGGACCAGGTTGCATACTAGTAATTTGTTATGCTGACCTGAACCACTTCAAACGTAAAAACCTGATATATGTGCTGAACACCACCTCTTCGTGACCCATCGGCAATATGATTCGGTTGCCGAATGTGGACCAGAAGTGGTCCTATGTTATGCAGCGTTGGACCAGAGGTGGTCAGGTCCAATGACATCGCAATGATAATGTTACCATATTTTCTCCATATATTTGGACCATTTTGGTTACTAGTGTTGGTTACAAGGTAGTGTGGTCCTGTACTAGTATTTAACCTAGTCCCACTTTTTGCAGAGTGTGGAGTAAATACCATAGCAGATGTACGGTTAAAGTTCTTTTTCACATGTTGTAGTTAGGCTGCTATTCCCTTCTTATTTCTCCCCACATTTCCGTTCTAGTTAATTTTGGAATCAGAAATGATACTGAGATATTTTGCCTCGGAGGAGAGATTCAAAGTAGCTTCGCCCAATCCCGGCAGAGAAAAATTGGGAACTTTTGTTTTTCTGATAAAAAAATACCAATATTCCAGTTAACTTATACATTGGTAGGTCAAGATTAGTTACTTTCAGGGATGGGCGAGCTTAGGAAAATGAATAATTTAATTAAAAAACAAAATAAAAATAAGAATACATTTTCATTCATCATTCAAGTAATTTTATCAAAAATAATAATATTGAAAAATGTGAGTGCGCGTGATTTACAAAATCATCATCGTGAGCGTGTGTGAACGTGAGCCAAAATCATTTACGCTCCCACCAACTCCGTATGTTTGTGGCACATTGCGATGTATCGAAATGCGAATTAAAAAAATTCCAATTTCTTGTGGTATTGTGATTGAATAGACCTCTTCTAAACCTTACATTCACGCACGACGTACTTGTTGACCTTGCTTACACAACAACAACGCTTGCGGACGATAAAACTTTGCTAGCTAATGGAAAATATGAATATAAATCCACTGCAGAATTTCAGTTGACTGCAGAGTACGTCTAACATTGGGCAAAGAAATGGCGGAGGCATAAGAGCGAGAGGTACGAGTACATATAAATAGATGTCTATGCTGTTATATAAATTATAACTCCATTTCACTTTTCACAAACTATTATTATTGTTGAAGATAGGGAACTGCAATTTTGAGATAGTATCGTAGAGAAATTTTAGTATTAATTTCACTGCGGTCTCGATTATAAGAAGGCCAACAAGTGTTTTCTGTGTTTACGCATCAAGGCAGAGCACTATTTGAAAATGTGTCGCACAGTTTTGATATCCATCCTACAAAATCTGCATAGATATCATGGCATTAAATCGCCAGTTTAATTAGGTGTTCCTTCAGCCTGCAGTGTCCTGTCAGAATTTCTGTTATAATTCTTTAGTTGTTCTTGGATAAGCTGTTGATTTCTCAAAGCGTTTTATTTTTTGCTCAAAACAAAATCGTTTTTTTTTTTATTTTTTTAGTTTTATTTTTTCCTCAGAACATAATCGTTATTTTTGTATCGAACGCACTTGTGCACAAGGGTATTATAACTTTGTTCTCAAAACGGTTATTTGTAACCGCCAAAACGAATTGAGTTAGATATAGAAAAATGTATACATAAATGCTCAGAATTAAAAGAGGAATAGATTAAGCCATGTCTGTCCGTGCGCCCGTCTGTCGATCAGTGTACACGATAACTCGAGAAAAAATTTAGATATGTCCACGGAATTTGGTAGGCAAGTTTCCGTTTATCCAAGGTAGGTTGGGATTGAAAAGGGGCGACATCGGACAATAACCACGCCTACCTTCCATATAACGGTATTTTCGCAATATGCAAAAACTACCATATTTCCTTAAATACTGGATCCAAATTGTTGAAAGTTGGTACGCGTAGAATTTTGGCATAAAATGAGACAGTTATGAAGTTTTTTGAAAATGCGCCCACTTACGATGAAATACTGTATCTCTGTAGTCCCTTCACTAATCATCACCAAACTCGGTACGAACATTGCTTAGCGTCTCACTAAGAAACGCTTTGAAAATTTTTTAAATCACAACTTTTTGTGGTTTATTAATGTATGCCATACTCCAACACTGTCAAATAATTATGTTAGTACGGTGTCTTGCCAATTCATTAGATGTACTTCTACAACTTCGAACTCTTTGCTAAAGCAGGAATCGCACGATTTATAGATTTGTACATTTTGACAGTAACAGAATGGGGTTGTTTGGAATTTTTTCATTGAGCTGATGTCATTTGCAATAAAAATTTCTAGACAACACTAATCTATAACTGATAAAGTGTACAAATCTGTACAAATCGTGTGATCCCTACTTAAGAAACGCCCTTTTTGTAGGCCTGTGTAATTTATGTAGTACCTTTAATGCAAAATCAATTTTATCTTTGAATTGATTTTAA